TCTGAATTGTTTCCGACAATGACCTGCAGTAAAAATTTATCGCGAGGGATCTGAGTTTTTTCATCGTTTTCCAAAGAAGGTAGTGATAGCCACTTCGAATTTCCTAGGGCCGCCATCATAAATAGTGCGCGATGCACTCAGGGCTGATGACGTGTTATGGTTGCTCGTTGCGCTCGCGGTGTAGTTTTTTACTTTTGTTGATGGTATATTGGAAAGCGATGAAAAAGCAGATCGCTTGGTAAGGCAATTTTTTTTTTATCTCAGATCTATTGAGAAGTACATTTGGAACATTTTGAGCTACATTTGTGAAAAAAGTGAAGGTTCCCTTTATAGAGAAAATCCTGAGTTGGCCTCTAGCATACATAACACTTTTTTTTTTTGTTAAAACATTTTATTATTTACACTAAAACTGCTGTTAACCTGCGAAAAAATATTCATTTATTTGTACATCATTTTACACTCATATAATTTTGACGGAGTCCTTTTGGTACATTTCAGCTACAGGATCTGGCCACATCACCAGGGATACGGGATTCAAGGCTAAACACAGCAGAATGTGTTTTCAGTGGCCACGGGTTAAGCACGAAAGCCATCGGACGCAATTTGTACATTATCAGAACACTTTTTTTGGTTCCCGTATTTAGTACTCTACTCGTTAGTCAACTGTTAAGTCTCTCACTTGAGCATTTTCGAAAAGAGAGTCGGTCTGACAGTGCAAAGAATCGACATTTGAATGCGGGCAGTGAAAAAAGGCGATTGAACACTGCTAAGGCTATTGTTTTCCTCAACAATGTGTTAGCTTGTATCAGTATACCTTTCTTGACATCCCTCGCTGTATTTATGTTCGGTGAAATATCTAAACAAGGGAGCCAAGCTTATTATTTTCCTGATATATTGATCTTTTGTCTATTCGAAATTGTTCCCCTTCTGCCATATATTAACGTCTTATTTTCCATAATCTGGATTTGTCGTGAAAAGCCCTCTCTGGCCCCGGGGAAGATTTTAATCCGCTTGGTCCACAACTTCGGTTCCTGTGCTACCTCCGTCGTTATAATTTTCTGTTCATGTTGGATGCTAATCGGCACGATGCTTAACCCGACTTGGGGCTTGACTGTTGTACTTATAATATTCTTCAGTTTTGCCGCCTTAACTTATGCAGCCTACGTATACTACTCTTTAAAAGGCAGGCGTGAAAAGGGAAAATTTAGGAATCTTAGCGTCCTGATTACGTGTGCGAGTTGTTTTATGGGTTTGATTGGTGTAATAATTCTAGCAGTTTTGGCCGGACAATCTTTTAATGGAAGGGAAACCTCAGATGAAATCCTTAAGACCGTGTTTTTGACCATTATTGGTTCCTTTATTTCGTGGTTTTCATGGAAGAGGCTTATGAGTATTAACCAAAAGTTAGAAAACGCGCAAATCCAGTCCCCTCGTCCAGTGACACATCATTCCTCCCCCCAAGTCACTCCTCTCCCACAGGTAGCTCTATGATGAAATTGTTAGGATGATGAAAGGTAAACTGCGAAGTGAGATCGAGCTCAGTGTGAGTTTATTAGAATTCTAGTGTTAGATCAAGACTCATGGTCATTAACTAAGGGGAAGGAATATAAGCTCTCTCGTGGGACCTTGTTTGTTCCTTTTGTTTGTTTGTTTGTTTAAGCAACTTTTTCGGTCAAGTAGGTTAAATATATTTAGGTTCTTCAGACTCTCTTATTAAATTCTCGTCTAAGGTGATAAAGAAGTTTTAACAGTCTGATTAGCATAAATAACGTGTGAAAAGAGTTCAAATATTATGCGATATCATTATCAAACCTGTTTGATATACGTTAAGATCATGTCCAGTTGGCCATTGTCGTTTCGAAAACGAACTGCCGTGACTGATTCACTACTGTTACGTGCTGCCTCGTTAACTTACGCTAAAATCTCAATTTCAATCCTAAAGTATACTGATTAGGTCATTTTGGGTGAGGTTTAAGAAGCCAATAGTTTCGACATCATTGCATCGATTGTATACGTGCGGAACCGAGGACAAGGCATTAATGATATTTTTTAGTATCTACTCCGTATGATGCACGATCCTTGCAGTAGATAGCGCTATTTAAGCAATAGCGAAAATCAGACCTGAAAAAAATCAGGCCTGTACGGGACTCGAACCACTGTTCTGCGATACTAGTGCAGCGTTCTACCAATTGAGCTAACAAGCCAACTGGGAGCAGGCCGTTAAGTTGATTCGTAATAAACCCGTGATGATAAATCAGATACAATGAATATATGAAGTTCATATATTTTGAACTGCGGTANCTCAATTGGTAGAGCGCTGCACTAGTATCGCAGAGGTCAGTGGTTCGAATCCCGTACAGGCCTGATTTTTTTCAGGTCTGATTTTCGCTATTGCATAAATAGCGCTATCTACTGCGAAGGATCGTGCATCATACGTATTTAATACCGCAGTTCAAAATATATGAACTTCATATATTCATTGTATCTGATTTATCATCACGGGTTTATTACGAATCAACTTAACGGCCTGCTCCCAGTTGGCTTGTTAGCTCAATTGGTAGAGCGCTGCACTAGTATCGCAGAGGTCAGTGGTTCGAATCCCGTACAGGCCTGATTTTTCCAGGTCTGATTTTCGCTATTGCATAAATAGCGCTCTCTACTGCGAGGATCGTGCATCATACGTATCTAATACCGCAGTTCAAATATATGAACTTCATATACTCATTGTATCTGATTTATCATCACGAGTTTATTACGAATCAAATAGCACTCTCTACTGAGTGCATCATACTTATATTTCTCTCTGTTACTTTTAACTCTAATTATGTTCTGTTCATAAGCGCCAAAGTAGGGCGGCGTCTGGTCTAACTTCCGTTTTCTTTCTAAGAAATCTGCCATGACTGATTATTCAAATATACTTCATCTGTTAAAACCTGATGGCCGCAGCCTTCAAGGTGGAAATATTGTATCCTGAATTCCTTTTTAGTGTCATGGTGCACATTGCTGCGTCAGAAATCAAATCTACTTCGTAATTCACACAGAGGTATTTTCTTTTCTTTATATCATGATTTTTCTTAAGAGAGCAAGCTTGCCTTGGAGCTAAAATAGCAATAACATCATCATCATGAACGATTGGCAACCTCTTTGTTTCCCCAACGTCATGAGATATTTAATCTCGTTATGTATAAGTAAGTTTAATTCACAATTAACAGCTACCATGGATATAAGAAATCTGGGGAGCGTGGAGAGATACCAATTTCTTCCCTTTCTTGTTGTTAAAAGTTTCTTAGGAACGGAACTAATCAGGGGCAGCAAACTTCGTTATAGCGAGTGTCTGTTATCGTTAAGACATGTGAAAATCAGGCTTCACCTTAAACAAGTTGTAGCTTTTTAGGTAGAGGTGGGCTCAGGCAGGTGTAATTATGTCTCCCGCTGTTGAAACCTGTTGGTAGAGAATATACCATAAAGGGACAGTTAATTTGCTATTTTGGATATTTCATTGAGCAAGAATAGCTAACGCAAACATATTTTAAGACCCAAAATATCTGAGTGAAATCAAGCACCGTGAACAATTCACGGGGTAGTCCTTGGGTAGTCTTTAGTCCGCAGGAATGCAATCGAAAGCGAAAAGGAAAGAAATGAAACGAATGATGAGTTGCGGTAATACTCTTGAAAGAAACGACGAAATGCAATTGCAATCCAAGTGCTTTAAATGTCTGAGTAAAAATTTTAAAGAGAAGATCAGAACTCATAAATTCTTTCAATTTTTTTGTTCGTCAGTATGGAAAAAGACGAGTTCTTTGCGCGCATTTTTCTTATCAATTTTACTGTATTTTTTGCATAATTAATTAGGTAAAAACCCGAATTTTCATTTTTCCCCATTTCCTCGGACACATTTGATTTTTCAAACTTTGAAATATTTTTTTTGATTACATCTCCCTAAAGGGGTTTTCCAGGCAAATTATCAGAATTTTCGATTTTTTTAGCCTGGCCAGCAATTCTCGATATTTACAGTCACGGCCTCTTAAGGACACGTTTTTTAACGATGTCATTCAACTCCACTATTTCAAGAATACGATAAGAATTTTTAGGTCTAAGAAACGCTAAACAACGTTTAAAAACAGAACAGAAAAAGAATTTGATTTTATCAACCAAGCCGACAATGCAGTAATGTGAATTTGCCAGCGCATGCGCAGCGTGTTTCTAAAGCTAACGTTTGGAGCATTGGCCCCTCCACTCCCGTGAGAGATAGAAAACATAGCAAGTCAAATTTGATGTAGTTTTATTTTGGGTTGCACTATTTGCATCATTGATAACTGTCAGTGAACTACGAGTCGGTATACCATCGAAATTTCTTCTAGGTCACTGAAGTTTTCTTCGTTGAAAAAGAGAGAAATAAAAAACAAATTATCAAAAATACAAAAATACAACAACAGAAAAACACGTCATATCGAACGATGCTGATAATTTTTTCGCGAAAAATGTCTTAACTGGCGCGATTTATTCAATAATAGAATGCATATATAGTGATGCTTGCTACATAAATTAATTATTTTATTCTATTCATTCAAATAATGTCATATGCTTTCAGAAACTGATCATACAGAAAAAGGAAATCATTAAGATATCTAAGCGTGGCCCCTCAATGGTTCAGGGTTGTTGTAGTTAGCCTTATTCAACTGGTATTGGTTTTTGATCAACACAGTGTTGAAGCAGATTTCAGTGCTAACTGTGACGACTCGACAAATTCCCTCTCATGCATCCATACGTATGACGAGCTTTATAACAGCTTAGCAAATTCAGACAACAGTTTTAACATCGAGGCAGCTTTATATCCAGCCAGGAGACCTTCTTCTGTTCGTATGTTTATGAATTTACATGGTCCCAACTGTTATGACGTATGCTAAGCACGTGATTCACCTCGTGCGTTATTGTTGTTAGTACATCCGCCATTAAACTAGTTGAGTTAATATTGCAATTGACTCTATTCTCGTCTCTTCGAACACTACACCAACAAGGCAGACAACCCCATGGTACGGTACACTTGGAGCCTTTCCTGCTTGTATGTTGCTGTTCCACCACTCATGCTGGAAGTTTTGTCCCTCGGATCCATCCTTGTAACGCCTCGGACTCAAACACTGAATATAACTATTCCATATTTCTGCTGCAATTTGTCAAAGAAGGAGGATGAAAGAGGGAAAATAATTAAAGAAACGATTAAAAGAGCTCTTTCAGCGGTAAGTTCATTGTTTTCTCCCTTAATGTCAGTCACTGTCTTAGCCAAAGTATAGTGTTAACAGGGTTCAGTTTTTCGAGCCAAGCAGCCCGCACAGTCCATATTTTTTACTGTTTACCTAATACATGAATAGTCAGTCTATGAAGCTATTGTTGGGATCTATACGCAGCTGAGACAGGTTACGAGTTCATCGCGTGTGTTTAATTAGCAACTTGTCAAGTTTACTTGAACCGGTTTCCGGGCCGGTACCCATCAATACTTCTTGGTGGTAAGTGGCATTACGTAAGCTACTATAAACTGTCCCCTGGCTGTCCATCATTTAAAGTTTACACAATTTTGATTAAGGTTTGCTGGTATATTTCAGCTTCAAGACCTGGCCATATCACCAGGGATACGGGATCCGAGGCTTAACACAGCGGAATGTGTTGTCGAAGGCCACAAGATAGACATAGAAGCTACAGGACGCAGTGTGTACATCAAAATAATCCTCTGGTAGTAGTAGAAGTAGACATCTATATATAAATACAGGATAGCCCCTTCAGTGTAGTAAACAATGGTATCAACGGGGGTCCTGTTACCCACCCATCCCACCCCATGGGAGGACATCCATCACACAGTAATCTCGTGCGTGGGAAATTAACGTCTCCTGCCCCAAACCCTACAGGAGACGGGACCTCCATCTATTCGTCCCTATCCGAGAAGACTAGAATATCTAACCATTTCTTGATGCTATAGAAAGGTAGCAAATTCTTCTCAGTTATTTAAAGACCCTGACTGTTGGTCCGACCGGGGCTTGAACCCTCGACCTCCCGCACAACAGTCCAGCACTCTATCCACTGAGCTAACCGGGAGGCGGTTTACTAATGGTGTTCTTTTCTTTTCACTTGGACAGTTTTCCATATATTAACTTCATTCATTAAATACTGTAGAATAGAGGGTTGGTCAGAGCATACAACAACGGAAAACCCCGATACAACTGGCGGAAACAGGAAAAAGATCAGGATCAAAAATACTGCTAAGGCTATCTTTTATTTGGGTGTCTTGCTGTCATTTCTTGGTTTCAGTCAACAATTGGCGCTTCTTTTACGTGTAAATTTTTACATGGACGAAGTTCTCTTTTAATTGAACATTGCACCTATTTTAGTTCTCTGTCTGGTTCACAGTTCGACTAGTTAGTTCTATTTTTAATCTCTATGGGTTAGAATGTATTACTTACTAACTTTAGTTTTGAGGGCCACTGGTTTATCAGCGCAAGCTGTTATGTGTATACCCTCTTTAAATAAAGTCGATTATTATTATTATTATTATTATTATTATTATTATTATTCAATACAATAACTGGCTTAGTCCCTCACATCCGCAGTGTCTTTGAGAATTATTTTTCATGGTTGAAGAGTCATCATACCTCGAAAGATTTGGCTGACGGGAAGAAGGTATGATTTGCTCCTGTTGGAGCTGTTTTCCTAAACTGGTCGCCTTTACAGGTGCAGCCACCACTAGTTTCTCTTCCTGTTGGATGTTAATCGGCATAGTGCTTAACCCAACTTGTGACTTGACTGTTACGCTCGTAATATGCTTTACATTTGCCCCTTTACTTATGCAGTCTACGAATAACTTACCTTAGTTAGCTGGAAACAGGAAAAGGTAAAACCTGATAAACTCCACGCTCTATTGCCTGGTTTGTTGGGTTTTCTTGCTGTTATTTTTCTAATTCCGGTAATAGTATTCGTCGGCCAGTCATTTAATGGAAGAGAAACTGCTGATGAAACACTGAAAACCATACTTAGACTGCTCTTGGTTCTTTCATTTCGTGGTTGTCTTGGAAGAGGCTTCTGAACAAAAGCCAAAAGTCAGAGGAGAAACAATCTCAACTCAAAGTAAGTTACCCCTTTACTTGTCCCACTCCTGGGCATGAAATGAAAGACGTTATCGATGGCGACGTAAGGCATCCTTTATCCAGCAACCCATCAATTGATTCCACCTCAAGCCAGAATTCTCCTCAAGCTGACTCTATACTGGAAATAATCGAGGCTGATGTGGGACAGCCTGTATTAAGTGGCCAGTATTGTGATTTGAAACCTTCTGCAGATAACTCTGGAACGGATTTTATTGTAGATGACGTGAGGCAGCCGGCATCTAAAGGTTCGTCTACTCACTCCACCCCAGGCCAAAGATCTCTTAAAGCTGGCTCTCTTACAATCATTACTGACGATCATATAAGGCAACCTGAATCCTTTCGCTCGTCTGCTAGTCGCGCTCTAGGCCAGGACCCTCCTACGCGAGACTTTTCAACGGAAACTTTAGTTCCTGTTGTAAACCAACCTGTATGTAATTCCCCATCAACCGATCACATCCCGCAACAGGCAAACCCTGCAGATGAATCTGTTGTGGAAATTGCTGTTGATGGTGCAACGGAAATTATAAATCAGCCTTCATCCGGTGGCCCATCGAATTACACCACAGATCATATCCTTACCGCAAAGCATTCAGTGACGAAAATTGTTGCTTCTATTGCACACCAGTCTCCAAACAGTGAAACATCATCTGATCACAGTCCAAGTTATCAACATCCGGAGCAAACCGCCATGGAAACTCAGACCTCATCTGGGGTGTTCGATTACCAACAACTTCCTGAGGATGGGCCAATCATCGGACTTGATGAAGACCATCCCACCTCTGATGTAACATCCTCCTTTCACAGCCCAGGTCATCCACCAAGTGACCCTCTGACGGTTCACGATCACATTACTGCGGAAAGCCAATCTTCATCTGATGGTTCAGTTTCAGATAAAAGCCTAGCAGGTTATCCTTGGGTTGAAAATATTGAAAATATCGAGTCAGTTCACGAGAAACAAAGAGAAACAGTGATAACCAGAGAGAGCAACGTGTAGCAGAATATGAATTTGTTGGCTCAAAACTCGGTCTTCATATAGAACACCATTTTTCTTTGCGATCGCTTTCTCTCCTTTCTTTCAAAATTTGAAAGGTCAGAATAGTTGTGAAATGGCAAGAAAACTATTTCCTATTATTGGTTGCCCCTTGTCTGCAAAGTCACACATTTGACAAAAAATTGAAGATTTCGACACTTCACTGAAATTGATTACATCGTGAGGAACTAAGCACAGTAACATAAATGGTATTGTCGGTACCCCGGTTGTGTGTAGAAAATACGCAATTACGGAAAAGTATAACAAATATCTTTTCAACATAACGGTTATTACTGAAAAAAACGATCTGTCAGGGAGGTTTTTAGTAACAAGAGAGGAGGCAAGATTTTTTTTTCCGCTCATGATAACGCAGTTGAGGAACACGAGCGACTTGGTGGTGATGTTGTATGGCCACTTTTTGTACAACTGTAGATTGAGTCTAGCTTAAGATCTAACAACGAGTCATTTTCTTCGTTGTTAAAGTTTTTTTTCATAATCACTAAGTTCCTCAAAGATGTTATTGTGCTTTGGGCTAAGTACACTTGAACACTTTTGTTCTCTAGTTGACTTAGTTTGACTAAACTGATAGTAGCTATATATTGTTGTGATGTGATCAGTTCGAATAGATTCATTCTTTTTCACCCTAAGGAAATCTAGTTAAGAAAAAGCTTGGATATATTGTTGACCAATAAACTTGTAAAACTTCAAAACCAATCGAGGGTTCGTTTTCAGGTCGACTTCATAATGAAGCAGCTTGCATTTACTCGAAAATAAGCTCAAAAATTAGTCGCAATAGCTGACCCGTGGCTCCAAATGTCACAACACTATTATCAACCTGTTATCACTGTATACTAAAAATATTGCGTGACGTATAAGTCAAATCATGAGGAAACATTTAGTAGCTCTCTGTGGGGGAAATTTCTCATGATATGAGACTTCTCCACTAACCTTGAGTTAAAATAACGACTAGGTAGTCATTATAGAAGATCAGGTATGTAACGTATTCCAACCATTAAAGAATTGAGTAATATAGAGTTCATAGAACAACTTCCCTTTTCTTCCGGGGAAATCTTGCGTGACTTATTTAAATTCACACAAAAGTAAGTGATCTGTAGTCGTTCGACTCCGATCGTCACAGACTTAAGTAAAAATTCTGGATTTCATTTTGGGCGTCATTGCTCTTGACCGTTTGGTTTAGTGAAAAACATCAAGTCTCTTCACAGGGGAGGTACTTTCCACTTGTTTTATAAGATTTTTCGTTTAGTTATAAGCTTGTAGTATAGTCCGCTCTCCGAAACCTCAAAGACGACCAGGATTCAGAGCGTGTTTATACAGAAAATGTTTATTAGCGCAAGTTTACCCATGAAATAGCTTTGCATTTCAAAAGTATTAGACGCCGAAAGAGATTTCAATGTCTAAAATTCCCATGTTTTTGCAAGGTTTTAGCGAGTAGAATCAATGCTTCAACAGTTGTCTGTGATAAGCGCGAGAAATAAAATTAGGTCAGTCGAACTTACGATAAGCTATTAGTCGTGAATTTATGAGGGTTTAGGCGAACAGTTAGGCTGTTACTGACGCTGAATTTTTTCCTTAAATGTTTATGTCAAAAGGAAATGATTTAAAATTTTGATTGTATAGTAGAAGCTGCGAATGGCAAACGAAAGTAGCTTACAGACACGGATTGTTGAGGTTAGACATGGAAACCGGAAGTATCGAGAACGCATCCTCTGATTTGCATCCAGCCGACATATTAAGTATTTCTCCGGCAAGCCAAAATTTAGGGACACTGTACCACAAATTACTACAAATAAACTGTTGCAAACAACCTTTTCGTAAACATTACAATCACTTCACCCACATTGTAACTTGTTTCTTCGCATGAATTCGCAAGAAATCATAAACCGATTCTCCCTAAATATATTCACTGCTGAAAGAAAAACATTCTCTATTTCGATCAAAGCCTCTTTTCACCATGGAGTATAAATAGGTATCAGAAAACTCTCAAGGACCGGTTTTTTCAACGTTTTGGGTGATTTTCTGCGATGAACTTGCAACCTGTCCACAGAAGTAGCATTGCTCCAACTCAGTTCATGCTATGGAAACTGTTATAACCTCTACTGAGCTGTAATTTAAGCGAGTCTACGATCGTGTGATGGCTAGTCTTGAATAATCGGCATCATCAACCTCAAGTGGATCCAATAAAACTGATTTGTATTTAATCCTTTTTTTTTTTCTTTCAGGAAACATTTTAACTGGCCAAGGGATTCAAAGCCATTAAAATCTCTCCTGTATGTCAAGGATGCCATTCTTGCGATTCGATCTGAAATTTCTTTTCCTCATTCAAGTTATGACAACATACTTACTTCCAAAACACATGTCTCAAGCAACGGTTACTAATAATTGTACAAGTGTTGTCTATGCAACTGATGCCTGTAATAAAATCACCTACGAACAGGTCTACAACATCTTGGCAAAGTCAGAAAACAGCTTCAACATCACGTCTGCTCTATATCCAGCCAAGAAGCCCTCTTCAGTTCGTGTGTTTGTATATGTTTATGGCCCCAATGAAAAAAATTCAACTCCTGCTTCCAACTACACGTGGAGTATTTCTTGCCTGTATGCCGCTGTCCCTGCAAAAGTCCTTCAATTTTGGTCTTTATGGTCAATCATGGTAACCACACGAACTCAGAGGCTTGACATAACAATTTCACTTTCCTGCTGTGATGTAACGAAAGGGAAACTAAAACAATACATCGAGGACGCTCTAGCTGCTGTAAGTACTTTGACTAACGTAGATCACGTACCAAAGTAGCAGTAACATATCAAATGAACAGGAAAAACAAATCAGGAAAAAACACTATACTCTAATCATCTAAACATCTAATTATTATGGACACTTTTTCGAGTCAGAAAAGAATCAAAAGTAGGGTTATTACTTCAGTTACTCTAACCTCATCTATAAATTAATCAATATGGACTGAAAAGGAGAAGTCTGGATATGTTTTATTTTGAACTACGTCTTCACTTCCCTCCCCTTCGCTCATTAAGTTTGTTTATTAACCTTTTTGTTTCCATATCTCCCACAAACTGGAAGGTACTCTGCTAGTGAGCGCAAATATCAAGAATCGAAGGAATGTAATATAAAACTGTCCTTGAACAGAAACGTGATGATTCTCTAAAGTAGAAATGAAATTTTTTTCCTTTTCCATCTTTGTGGAGAACATCATTTCATATTTCCTGTATCTGAGTTATTTGGCAAACTGTACAAGAGTCAGGAATTCATTTCTTTTCCCTGAGACTCGTGGCTAATTTCGGAGAATTTGCATATATGTTGGACAAGCACCCCAATGTCCAACATTATTGCCCGTTATTTTGACCAAGAATCCATGACCTGCTACCAGTTTATCCAACAGGATTTCTCTGTTCTGTGTCTTATTATTTTCCCAAATTTTGCGATGACCTTAGGTCATCTTGGTTTTCTGCTGATTCGTTTACAATCATCTTTATGTTCGACTTATGTTAGTTCTGTCTACTATTTCACAGCTTCAAGATTTGGCTGTTCTTCCGGGATTACGAGACCCACAACTGAATTCAGCTGAGTGTATCATAGAGGGAAATAAACTAAATATTTCTTCTACAGCAGAACACAGTTGGCGAATGAAAACAATGCTTGTCCTCTCCTTTCTCTTTTCAGCACTGTCTGGACCATTGTTAGCCTTTTATGCAACGCAAAAACGGGACGAACTGTCATTGATTAAGAAAAGGACAATAAATTTCTTGTGTAAATTTTTGTTTGTAACATTCATTGCTTTAGTTATAGCAAAAGAGATAACAGTCCATACATGTAGCCCTGATGAGGAACTTGATCCTCCTTGTATTGATGTAAAACAACCGGCCATACGAGTATTTGAGGCAATACAACCGGTCCTAATAGGAGTTGGAGTGTTTGTCTTTTCTGTGGCATATCCTTTATGTAAAGGGAAAACGGACAACCAGAACAATCATTCAGTAGGGCGCACCGTAGAGGTGAAGTCATTCTTTTTCATAATTTGTTCAAATTTTGCAGTCTTCCATTTTTGTTGGCTCTTAGTTGGCATGATGCTGAATCCTATCTGGGGTCTTGTTGTTCTGCTCCTAGTTTGCCTTGTTATTGGTGTCATAACCTTTGCATTCTATACCTTCATGTCTTCAATAACTTCTAAAAATAACGACGGAAACATCACCACCGATTGCCGTAGTTGGGATTGTTGTCAGTCGTTCTCCTCTTGTTTAGCAGGGTGCCTAGCTGTTTATGGTCTTATTGCTATGGTGCTTTTTGCTGGGCAGTCATATAGTGGGAGGGATACTGCCAATGAAGCTTTGAAAGAAGCAGTGATGTATTTAATCTCCATATTCTTTTCATGGCTCTATTGGAAGAAGTGGGTTAGTAAAAGTCACAAATCTGGTGACAGCCAAAGTAGGTCTGTTCAGACTACCCCTTTACTATCACAAAATCGTCAGGCTCCAGAAAATCGCTTCGAAATGCAACCACTAACAAGCCATCATGGCAATGGAAATTGATCAACTTATTCTAACACTTTAATCTAGCCTCTCAATCTGAAAAAAATAATCGCTGGAGGAGCAAAGGCCAAAGAATGGCAGCTATCAACAGATGTGCCCTAGTACATAAAATTTCTAAAGGGAACTCAGACTTTTTTCTTCATCCTTTGCAAGTGACAAGATGAAAAAAACATCTCTTTTCAACATAACATTTGTTTTCATCTGCATGGTGCTTCATTTGCTTCACTTGCAAACCTTAATATTATGATATGCGTAAACCAACTGAAAGTGGTTCCCTGACTCTAAACATGGGATTAATAATTGTCCCTTCATTTACTTATCACTTTCTGGTAACTCAGAGGAGAGAATTTGGTATTGTATCAAAACAAAAGCCAATCTGGCTGATGCAATTATCTTTTCTTTTTTCCTAAATGCTATATAATGTATTGATTTTCTAGGGAGAAGTTATTACTTAATCATAAATTTGACATGCTGAATAACAGTTCAAGCTAATGCAATAACTAGATAAAATACTATTCCTCGAACACCTAATTATTATCAGAAGTACAGCATTTTTTATAAAACTGCTGAAATGAATGAAATGGATCTCTTTTTCAACATTGGTCGTCAATGGAACAACGATCTGTTGGGGAAGGTTTTTAGTAACAAGAGAAGAAATAATATTTACAGTTGTGAAGAAAAAAATGGTCAGGAACACGGGCCAATTGCTGTATTGTTGTGTTACTATTTGTAGTACAATTCAGATTGAGTCTAGCTTAAGATCTAACAAAGAGTACAAAGAGTATGTGACGTTTTCAAAGATGTCACTGTATTTTAGACAAACTGCTCTAGAGCGTTGTTCTCTACTATTGATAGTCATGTGACTTAGTTAAACTAGACTGGGTAACTTACCTAAGCTAAAGTGATAGGAGTTATTTTTGCTGATGTGATCAGTTCAGGCACTTTTATTCGTCAGTTCAGTGTATGATCCTGATTCTATAGCAAATCGTGTAAAGTAACGTTTGGATTTATTACCACTCAATAAACTTGTGAAACTTCAAAACCAACTCAAGACTCATCTCCAAGTCAACTCCGCCGAAAAAGAATCAGCTTGCATTTACTCGAAAATATATCTAAGTATCATTTACAGTAGCTGACCTGTGGCTCCAGTTGTCACAACACCATTATCAACTCGTTTACGCTGGAGGCTAAATATATCACCTGATTTAGAAGTCAAATCTTGTGGAAACATTCAGCCTGTTTATCGGTAAGGTAAATTTCTCATCATCAGGGCCGTAGCGAGAATAAGGCAAGACGAGGCAGTTGCCTCGTCTTGATTTTGGCCTTTTCTAAAATTTTTTTTCTTGAAGATTGACTTTTCTGAAGAAAAATGCCGCGAAAAATCCTTAAAAGGGCATTTCTGAACCTCTAGATTTCAAAATTTTCTGGGGGGCATGCCCCCAAACCCCCCTTGCGGCTCGCGCCTTCGGCGCTCGAAAATTGCCGCGTCTTGTCCTGAAGTCTGGCTACAGCCTTGATGATATCAGACTTCTCCATCGGCCTTGACTTCAAATATCGATTAGATAGCCATAGAAGATCAGGTTTCTTAATTATTCAAACCGTTAAAGAACTAGGTATTATAGGTGTGTGGTTTAATAGTTTACAACTTCCCTTTTCTTTCGGGGAAAAACAGCGTGACATATTATTGACACTAAAATTAAGTGAACTGCGGTCGTTCGACTCCCGTCGTCACAGGTTTAAATGAAAATTCTGGATATCTCATTTTGGTGTCGTTGCACTTGATCGCTTGGTTTGTTGAAAAAGATCAAGTCTTCTTCATAAGGAAGGTACTCTCTACCTCTTTCATAAGATATTTTTGTAAGTTATAAACTTGTAGTGCACCGTCCAAAACATCAAAGACAAACAGGGTTCAGAGTATGGTAATTACCCTCGACGCAAGTTTTTCCACTATACATTTCAGATTTATTAGACACAATGTGAGATTGCGATATCTAAAATTTCAAGTTTTTGCAAGGTTTTAGTGCCTAGAATCAGTGACTCCACGGTTGTCTGTGATAAGGACGAGCGATAAGTATAGGTCAGTCGAGCTTACGATTAGCCATTAGTCGTTAAGAGGGTTCAGACAAACAGTTAGGCTGTTAACAGCGCTTATTTTTTTCCTTTCATGTTTATATCAAAAGGAATTGATTTTAAATTTTTACTATATATTAGAAGCTTCGAATATAACTGCTACTACTACTACTACTACTAGAAGCTTCGAATGGAAAACAATAGCAGCTCACAGACACGGATTATTGGAGTTAGACGCTGGTATTCAATGAAAACCGGAAGTATCGTGAACGTGTCCTCTGATTTGCATCCAGCCGATATACTAAATATTTCTCTGGCAAGCCAAGATTTAGGGACTCTGTACCACAAATTACTACGAATAAATTGTTGCCAACAACCCTTCCTCTAACATTACGATCATTTCACCGACATTATAGCTGTTTCTTCACATGAATTCGTAAGATATCTTTCAACGATTCTTCTTGAACATATTCACTGTTTAAAGAAAAGCATCCTTTATTCCCATCAAAGCCTCTTTTCAACATCGAGTATAAATAGGTTTCAGAAACTCTCTTTTGGATGCGCTAGGTGGTTTTCTGCGATGGACTTGCAACCTGTCCACAGGGAGCAGCAATACTCCAATTCCGGCTCCATGCTCCGGCAACCGTAAGAAGACTACTGAAGAACCTCCAGTCCAGCAGTAATTTAGGCGAGTCTACGATCTTGTGGTGGCTTGTCTTGAATAATAAGCCTCAAAAACCCGAAGTGGATCCAATAAAGCTGATTCATATTAATTCCGTTTTACTTGCAGGAAATATTTTAACTGGTCAAGGGATTCAAAGCTATAAGAATCTCTACCGTTTCTCAAGGATGGCATTCTTGTGATTCAATAATAAATTTCTCTTCTTCATTCAAGTTATAATAATACACTTACTTCCAAAACACATTTCTCGAGCAACAGTTACCAATAATTGTACAAGTGCTGTCTATCCAGAAGATGCCTGTAACAAAATCACCTACGAACACTGAGGTCTACAACATCTTGACAAAGTCAGAAAACAGTTTCAACATTGAGTCAGCTCTTTATCCACCAAAATAGCCCTCTTCAGTTCGTGGGTTTGTAAATGTCTATGGTCCCAACAAAACGGAAAATTCAACTCCTGCTGCCAAATACACGTGGAGTATTTCTTGCCTGTATGCTGCTTTCCCTGCAAAAGTCCTTCAATTTTGGTCTTTATGGTCAATCATGGTGACCACACGAGCTCAGAAGCTTGACATAACAATTTCACTTTTCTGCTGTGATGTAACGAAAGGGAAACTAAAAAAACACATCGAGGACGCTCTAGCTGCTGTGAGTACTTTGACTAACTTAGATCACGTACCAAAATAGGAATAAAATATCAAATGAACAGGAAAGGCCAATCAGAAAAACACTCCACTCTAGCCTTATAAACACTTGGCATGGACACTTTTCTGAGTCAAAAAAGAATGAAAAGTAGAGTTTTTACTTCAGCTACTCTTACCTCATCCGTGAATCAATCAATAAGGACTGAAAATGAGAGGTCTGGACATGTTTGATTTTGAACCACGTCCCCAGCCCCGTCCCCTGCCCTCGCATAAGTTTGTTTACTAATATTTTTTGTTTCAGTCTCTCCACAAACTGGAAGTTAATCTGCAAGTGAGCCCAACTATCAAAAGTCGAAAGAAAGTAAAATAAAAGTGTCCTGGAAGTGCTTGAACAGAAATGTGATGATTCTCTTAAGTGGAGATGAAATTATCAATAATAATAGTAATAATAATAATAACGAATATTTATACAGGATAGCCCTTCAGTGCAGGAGCACTGACATTTCGTCTTTGTGGAGAACACTGAGCATTTCAAATTTCCCTTTATGTAAGTGAGTTCTTTAGCAAACTGTACAAGAGGCAGAAAATTAGTTTCTTTTCCCTGAGACTTGTGGCTTATTCGGGAGAGTTGGCATATATGTTGGACATGCAACCCAATGTTCAACATTATGACCCGTTATTATGACCAAGAATCCATCACCTGGTATCAGTCTATCCAACGGGATTTCACTGTTCTGTGTCTAAACATATTCCCACGTTTTGCAATAACCCATCGCTCATGCCAGTTTTATTTTTTTTCACTGATTCTTTAAAAACCATCTTCATGTTTAACTTATCATAGTTTTGTCTTCTGTTTCACAGCTTCAAGATTTGGCTGTTCGTCCAGGATTACGAGACCCACAACTGAATTCGGCTGAGTGTATCACAGAGGGACATCAACCAAGTCTTTTTCCTTCTACAGAACACAGTTGGCGAATAATATCAATTTTAGGCCTCTCCTTTCTCTTTTCAACACTGTTTGGGCCATTGTTAGCCTTTTATGTAAACCAATTGAAAACTGTGTCCTTTCTGGTAAATTAGTGAAGAGTATTTTGCATTGTATCAAAATAGCAGCCAGTCTGGTTGACAAACTCATATTTTCCTCTTTCCCTATGTGCTGGAATGCCTTCATTTTCAAAGGAATAGTTATCACTTAACCACAAATTTGACATGCTGTATAACAGTTCAAGCTAATGCCGCTATAATTATATAACATCCTATTACTCATAGACCAAATTATTAGAAGAAGTACAGCATTGTTTATAAAACTGCAGAGATGAATGACATAGATCTCTTTCCAACATTGGAGTCATCAATGGAAGTAACGAGAGAAGAAGCGATAATATTTAAAGTTAATAAAAAGAAAAATGGTCAGGAACACGAGCGAAATGGTTGTATTGTTTTGTTACTATTTGTTGTGCAAATTGAGATTGAGTCTAGCTTAAGATCTAGCAAAGAGTAATTTTTTTCGTTATGGAAGTTTGTCATATGAGACATTTTCAAAGATGTCACTGTATTTTAGGCAAACTCTTCTTGTGCATTGTAGTAGTAGAGTAGTAGTAGAAACTTTATTAGAGTGTCGAAAAGCCGTCTAGCCAGGGAACAAATCCCCTACTAATTTGGGGACACCAATTGTTCTCTACCTCTTGTACTGATAGGTGACTTCGTTAAGCTAGACTGGGTAACTTACCTAAGCTAAAGTGATAGGAATTATTTTTGCTTATGTGATCAGTTCAGGTCCATTTATTCATGTATGACCCTGATTCTATAAGAAATCGCGTAAAGCAACGTTTGGATATACTACCACTCAATAAACTTGTAAAACTTCAAAACCAACTGAAGATTCATCCTCAAGTCAACTCAAAAAAGAATCAGCTTTCATTTACTCGAAATAAATCTAAGTATTAGTAACGATAGCTGACCTGTGGCTCTAGTTGTCTCAACACCGTTATCAACTTGTATACACTGGAAGCTAAAAATATCGTTTGATTTAGAAGTCAAATCATGTGGAAACATTCAGCCTGTTTATCGGTAAGGTAAATTTCTCATGATATCAGACTTCTCCATTAGCCTTGAGTTCAAATATCGATTAAATAGCCACAGAAGATCAGGTATCTTAATTATTCAAACCGTCAAAGAATTAAATATTATAGGTATGTGGGTTTATAGTCTACAACTTCCCTTTTCTTTCGGGGAAATACTGCGTGACATATTATTCACACTTAAATTAAGTGATCTACTTACGGTCGTTCGACTCCCGTCGTCACAGGGTTAAATGATAATTCTAGATATCTCATTTTGGTGTCATTGCACTTGATCGCTTGGTTTGGTGAAAAAGATCAAGTCTTCTTCATAGGGAAGGTACTCTCCACCTGTTTCATAAGATTTTTTTTTTAGGTTATAAACTTGTAGTGCACTTTCCGAAACATCACAGACTAAGAGGGTTAAGAGTTTTATAATTACCTTCGCAAGTTTTTCCATGAAATAGCCTTATACATTTCAGATTTATTGGACACAATATGAGATTTCAATATCTAAGATTTCAAGCTTTTGCAAAGTTTTAGTGACTAGAATCAGTGACTCCACGGTTGTCTGTGATAAGCGCGAGAGTTAAAATGTGGTCGGTCGAGGTTACGATAAGCCATCGGTCGTTAGTTTAAGAGGGTTTAGGCAAAAAGTTACGCTGTTACTGGCGCTTACTTTTTTCCTTAAATGTTTATATCAAAGGAATTGATTTTAAATTTGGAATATATAGAAGAAGCTCCGAATGGAAAACGATAGCAGCTAACAGACACGGATTATTGGAGTCAGACACTGTTATTCAATGGAAACCGGAAGTGTCGTGAACCTGTCCTCTGATTTGCATCCATCCGATATACCAAGATCTTCTTTAGCAAGCCAAATTTTAGGGACTCTGTACAACAATTTTCCAAAATAAACTGTTGCCAACAACTTTTTCTTTAACATTACGATCATTTCATCCACATTATAGCCTGTTTCTTTACATGAATTCGCAAGAAATCATCAACCGATTCTTCTTGAATATATTCACTTTTGAAAGAAAAACTTTCTTTATTTCCATCAAAGCCTCTTTTTACCCTGGAGTATAAATAGGTATCATAAAACTCTCAGGGACCGGTTTTTTCAATGTCCTGGGTGGTTTTCTGCGATAGACTTGCAACATGTCCACAAGGAGCACCAATACTCCAATTCACTCCACGCTTTAGCAACCGCAAGAACCTCCAGCAGTAATTTAAGCGAGTATACGATCGTGTGATGGCTTATCTTGAATAATAAGCCTCAACAACCCTAGGTGGATCCAATAAAGCTGATTTCTATTAATTCCGTTTTACTTGCAGGAAATATTTGAACTGGCCAAGAGATTCAAAGCTATAAGAATCTCTACTGTTTCTCAAAGATGGCATTCTTGCGATTCAATAATAAATTACTCTTCTTCATAGTTCAAGTTATTATAATACACTTACTTCCAAAACACATGTCTCGAGCAGCAGTTACCAATAACTGTACAAGTGCTGTCTATCCAACAGATGCCTGTAACAAAATCACCTACGAACAGGTCTACAACATCTTGGCAAAGTCAGAAAACAGTTTCAACATTGAGTCAGCTCTTTATCCAGCCAAGAGACCCTCTTCAGCCAAGAGACCCTCTTCAGTTCGTGTGTTTGTAAATGTCTATGGTCCCAACAAAACGGAAAATTCAACTCCTGCTGCTAAATACACGTGGAGTATTTCTTGCCTGTATGCTGCTGTCCCTGCCAAAGTCCTTCAATTTTGGTCTTTATGGTCAATCATGGTGACCACACGAACTCAGGAGCTTAACATAACAATTTCACTTTCCTGCTGTGATGTGACGAAAGGGAAACTAAAACAGTACATCGAGGATGCTCTAGCTGCTGTAAGTACTTTGACTAACTTAAATCAGGTATCAGAATAGCAATAAAGTATCAAATGAACAGGGAAAACCAATCAGGAAAAACACTCTACTCTAATCATATATTAAACATCTAATTATCATGGACACTTTTTCTAGTCAGAAAAGAATCAATAGTCGAGTTCTTACTTCAGTTACTCTAACCTCGTCTATAAATCTATAAGGACTGAAACTTGATTTGTTTGATTTTGAACCACCTTCCAACCTCTCTGTCCTATCCTCGTATAAGTTTGTTTATTCACCTTTTTGTTTCAATCCCTCCCACAAACTAGAGGTTACTGAACAAGTGAGTTCAAATATCAAAAATTGAAGGAATGTAAAATAAAACTGTCCTTGAAGACCTTGAACAGAAACGTGATGATTCTCTCAAGTGGAGATGAAATTGTTTTTCCTTTTCCATCCGAGTTATTTGGCAAGCTGTCAAGAGTCAGATAATCCATTTCTTTTCCCTGAGACTCGTGGCTTATTCGGGAGAGTTGGCATATATGTTGGACAATTGCACCCCGTTATTACGACCAAGAATCCATGACCTCAGTGGTACCACCCTATCCAACAGGATTTCGCTGTTCTGTGTCTAAATATTTTCCCAAATTTTGTAATAACCCATAAGTCATTTTTTGCTGATTCGTTTACAATTATCTTGTTCGACTTATGTTAGTTCTGTCTTCTGTTTCAAAGGTTCAAGATTTGGCTGTCCTTCCAGGATTACGAGACCCACAACTGAATTCAGCTGAGTGTATCATAGAGGGACATCAACCAAATATTTCTTCTACTACAGAACACAGTTGGCGATTAATGTCAATTTTAGTCCTCTCCTTTTTCTTTTCAACACTGTTTGGGCCATTGTTAGCCTTTTATGTAACGCAAATACGGGACGAACTGTCACTGATTAAGAAAAATACTATAGATTTCCTGTGTGGGTTTTTGTTGCTAATATTCGGTGGTTTACTTATAGCAATGCTTTGCCGTGAAAGGGAAGTTGTTCATCCTTTTATTGAGGCAATACAACTGGTTACGATAGTAGTTGGGATTTTAGTCTTTTCAGTAGCGTATTGTAAATGTAAGGGGGAAACGAACAACCAGTCTGTAAAGAAGAAGTCATGTGTTTTCATCATTTGTGCAAATTTAGCAGCTTACCATTTTTGCTGGCTCTTGGTGGGTATAATGCTGAATCCTATCTGGGGTCTTGTTGTTCTGCTCTTAGTTTGCCTTGTTATTGGTGTTTCCACTTTTGCATTTCATACTTTCCTGTCTTCAACTACTTCTGACAAATGTCAGCCATTCTCCTCGTGTTTTGCTGGGTTCCTGGCTGTCTGCTGTCTTATTGTGGTGGTGATTTTTGCTGGGCAGTCCTACAGTGGGAGAGAAACTGCTGATGAATCTTTGAAAGAAGCAGTGATGTATTTAATCTCCATATTCTTTTCATGGCTTTATTGGAAGAAGTGGGTTAAAAAAAGTGACGAATGTGGTGACAGTGCAAGTAGGTCAGATCAGGCTATTCTTTCACAAAACGGTCAGGCTTCAGAACATCAGGTGTAAATGGAATACTTATGAGCTAAAATTGATGAACTTTATCCAACACTTTAATTCAGCCTCTTAATCTGGAAAAAAAATAATTGTTGGAGAAACTAAAGAATGTCTGCCAACAACAGAAATGCCCTAGAACATCACTTTTCCAGTGACAAGATGAAAAATTACATTTTTTCAACATATTTTTTTTTTTTCTATGCATGGTGCTTCATTTATTTCACTGCAAAACTGAATACTATGGTATATGTAACCGAAGGAAAATGTTACCTTGACTCCAAACCTGTGAGTAATAATTGTCCCTTCAGTAACTGGTCACTTTCTGGTAACTCAGTAGAGAGTATTTTTGTAAGTGCTGGTTAATGTATTGATTTTGTAAGGAGAAGTTTTTACTAAATTGCAAATTTGATATGCTGTATAAAAGTTCAAGCTAATGCTTTCATGAAATCAGATTTTATTGAAGGAAGCACAACATTGTCTATCAATATTATATAATTTCAATAACTATCTTGTACTACAACAGGTTTGGACTTGTTTACATCTACACTGTTTAACTATAGTTTAGGATGCATTATAATGTAAATTCATTATCTGGAAAAATCTTTGAAACTGTATAAAAAAAAAACTGGAATGTAGACTAACACTAAATTGTACATGTAAACAGTGCTTTTATTCAGATTTGAAGCTACAAAAGGGGGCTGTCCTACTGCCTTAGGAAGCTAAAATTGTACTGGTTTGAAAGTGGAAAAAGTTCTTAATATATGATGGTCTGTATTGCAATACAAACTCTGTCAATGATTGTTTCAGATATTTTGCTACACAAGAGCTCTGACAGGCACCAAGTCTTTTTTGAAGCACTGCTAAAGAAAAAGACCTTAGGTTGTACCAGCTTTACATGTAAGTGCCCTACCTTGTATACAATGTATTAATTATTCTAGAAGCAGTGTGATAACAACAAAATAAATTTCATAAATACATTCAGACTTCTCAAAATATTTTCTAGTAACCCTCATTGGAGAAGGTTATGCTTTCATAGTCTGGGTAAGCTTTTTTAAGTTTCTTGACTGTGATGGAGTGATCAGCTCTACCAAACCCCTGAAAATAAAATAAACATGTTTCAGAAAGTCGGTCATAACAGTGAAGAAAATAATTAATCAGTAATAAATATTTAATAACCAACAGAACAAAATGCGATGGCCAGAAGGTCAGTGCATCGAGGGGACTGGGTTTAAACCTTCCCCAAGTCATAGTTTATTGCCACTTAGCAGCCCTGCAGACAAGATGTTGCAAACAACTGGACGCAGCCAGTTGAATGGCTTCCTCAACCAGCATGCCATTTTCTTAGCTGCAACCCTGAATACTCTTAGTCACTTTATATATGCTTTAACCCTTTACATGCTAACATCAGTATGCATATTCTCCATACTGTTCTCTATACATTTTGTAAGCTGCTGACAAGGAGAATTTGTCTAACAATCACAAGTTTCTTTAGTTGATGATCATTTCCTTTATTCTCCTGACCTTTATGTGTGATTCATGGGTGATGTTGTGAGGAGAAATAAGATGCTGGTCACTTTTAGGAGTCAAAGGGTTTAACAACCAAATATTCTAGTTGTGCGGACCCAAGGAGTTGGCTCCAGAGCAAACTTTACCCCATTTTACACTCACAACATAAGACCCAGACGGTTTTCAGGAGAACCAAAAGAACACAAGGAAACATGCACAAACAGACACACCTGAAAAGATCAAAATTATTTCAACAATCCACCTTTGTCTAAAAAGTACTGTACGACAATAGGAGCTGGTGATCTCTAAGATAGAGGGATTTAATGAATGACTAACAGTAAAATGTATGATTGGTCCAGAACTGATATGGCACATGTATTAATATTTGGTTCTGCCATGTGAGCAATCAGGCCCAGTCCATTAGCCCTTAAACCTAAGGTTAAATATAGAACTAGCTCTTTTTATTCGTTTGTTCAAAAGCCTTTACAAGATAATTAATATTTCTCTATTATTTTTAGAGCATCCAAGAATCAACTTCTAGACAAAAAAGAATTCTATTAAATTTTCTCTTAAAGCTTTCAGATTTTAAATCAGATTTCATTCTAACCCTGGGTCACCTTGAACCCAGCTTTGAACAACCCTGCCCTTAGTCTATACAACATCCTCAGATTAAACTCTGGGTTGTTTACAACATGATTTAACTATCCAAGGGTTACTGCAAGTACAATTTTTCAATTTATCTCTAGGCTGTGAAAAAATTTTTATAGTTGACATTTTTCTTTAAGTTTGGCCTTACACTGCGATATCACCTCTCGACAGTTTGAAAATAACTGAACATCTGAATCTTGAAGATTACACCTACCATAGAATAGCCATACACAAGGATTTTTTTGTCAAGTCTGTCATGTTGTATTCTGCCTCCACCTAAACATTCAGTTTTCATGCTCATCTCTCCAATTTCCTTCTCAACTTTTTCATAAATATCAGCTAAAAGACGAAATTATCAAAAAATTCAATAATACAACACGGCTGTACATACTGTGGTCAGTGCCTCACTAACGACAACTGACAGAAAAATGGACAAAATAAGCAACAACATGTAGAGTGAACATCACTTCGCATGAAACTCGCGTGTACCATAGGCTTGAAATAAGCAAATTCAACAAAAAAATAATATAAGCCAGTGAATAGCGTCAGTTTGAGATAGAGTGTAGTGAGCTAATGGCCTGTGATATCTGGTACAATCCCTACCACCTGTCCACGATCAAGCGGTGGCATTCGTTACCTTTCATTGACTGTCACGAGGAACGAGTTACGATATGAAACAAGTGATGATCTGTCAACAAGCTTACCATGGTAACATGCCCAATCCGATCCTCTGACTATGCACTTGTAAGCATTCTCATTTGAAGGATCTACTACTTTGATAAGAACGTATTTAAATTTTCCATCGGCATCAATATCGACATCAGGCACACTTAATAATTTTGACGAGTTTCCTTTCGCCATGTTGACTGTACTAATTCATGAGAGACTCGGGGAAACTTTGGTTCCAGGCTCTCCGGAGTTCGCCTCGGTCTTCCTCGCAAACAAAACTCTACTCTCCCTTCCCCTCCTGTTACACTACTTCTTCTTCAAGAAAATCTAAAAACTTACTAAATACCAAAGGAAATAGACATGTAAAAAGCAATGAGGGAAAGACCAACGGGTTTTTGACAAGGGAGGGGGTGGGGGGTTGGTTTATAAAAAATGAAAAAATTCACTGAGGTTGCAAAGCCAAACAACTTCAAAATGACAACATTTGTACACTGAACTATTTACTTTTATTCACACATAATTTTTCTTCTCTTTTCCCTTTTACTCAAGTGTGTCTTGAGAGTTTCTTTGTAAACCCTAAAAGAGCCAATCGTAAAGTTTCCCACCACTCGCATTTATATTTGGGGAAAAAAAACCACTCAATGAAATGAAAAATTTCAAAACCTGCATCAGAAACACTAATAAGAGCCCTGCAAGTGTCCACTTGGTTTGACACGTTTTACTGGTTTTAATGCATTAAAAAAAAGCTGTAATCAAATCAACTAGATACACAATCATCTACATCAATTTGTTTGGTATCATTGATCAGTCTTCCAATCAAATTTTTCTTACAACAGACAAACAACAACCATTCATGATGAAACAGACATGGTTTCATTTCTCAACATAACTGAGAGTTCGACAGCAACAGGCAGTTTTTTTCATGAATAAAAGTCATATACATTTTTCATTTACACCTAACTTGTTAAGGGGGCAACTCTGAGGACTTGGATGCAACTAGGTTGTTTTAGCTTGTACATACAGATCAAAAATTAAGAAATCAGGATCTATACATAAGTGCATCATGTAAAGAATATGACAAGGCTTCATCCTACATCTAAATTTCATCCCTTAAAATTGAGTCTATTCCCACAGTGTTGACACCACTGACTGCATGTCATGTTGGGAAGACATTTTTCCTCCATCAGCATCTTGCAGTGTTCCCTGGGAAATCTTCCTCAAAAATGGAAGGTGAATGTTTTCAGCATGAAAGGTTTGTTCTTGTTCACTGGTAAATGAACCATCAACTATTTGGAGTGCATCATCAACCAAGTCAAGAACCAAAGATTCCATGAAACAGTGAATGTGCACATCAGAATGCCCCTCAAATGTCCAACTGTGTCTCTTCATCATCTGCAATGAAACGGGAGCATGTTCAGTAATCCTTGTGTCTGAGTGGATCCACTTCTGGAAAGCAGTCCATGTCCGTCTACGCTGCTCTTGAGCATTCTCATCTCTCACTTGCAGTAAAGCTGCAGAATTTAGTCCTTGAGCATACAACAACACTTGTAGCCCTTTGGATGTACTAACAACCTCTACCTTGGAAGTTGGAGGTATTTGACCTTTCTTGAGACTGAGATGGCAACCCACCCATCCCTTCTGTGTTTCTGCCATAACTTCATTTCCTGTTGTCATGGAAACTGCAGATAATTTTCCATTCACATTTGTTACAATGTACTCACTTCCTGTGGCATCTACAGCATGAGAGATTCCAAAGGAGCAGATACTTCTAGAGAGGCATTTTGCGTAATCACCCTTGGCAAGGGCAATGTGCATGTAATTCTTACTCACAGAAACTGTTGGTTCAAGATTGATGATAACTAGAGAGACATGGGCTTCTTTTGGTTCTGCTGCTGGAAACAAAAGCATGAACACAAGTTTGGTACCTGCAAAGTTTTTTTTGCATGAGATGAACTTTGAACTAGGAATGTGTAAAGGCTTGTAAACTTTGGTGACATAAGATGCTAATTGTCCTGATGTGCGATAGTAAGTGACATGGTGAAAAGTTGATCCTGATTCAGGAACATTCTGTGGTACAAATATTTTTGTAACCTTGTTATCCATTTCTTGAGTCTGCCAAGGCTTTTCCAGATGAAGAGAATTTATGTACCTCTGTGCCTTTTTACGATTTTGAACCATTTCCTGCCTGAAAAAAATTAAAAATAAGTAAAAAGGGTCATGCTGAAAATTTGAATGAAAATAACCAAAATTTCCTGATACCAACAATAATAGGGCAATGAATATTTCATTATTTTTCAGTAATCCATGGTGTATTTTTTTCATTTTCACCCAGCCCCCCTCCCAACTTTCCAATAAGAAAAACATGAAAGGCATTGGTAACAGAGCACATCATCATCCTCCCCCTCCCCCTCCTCTCCTCTGTGAAGAAAAGTGACTATCCCCAACAATGACTGTGTTACAGGGAATCACTATAATGTAGTCAATATCCAACATTTAAAAGTGGTATCCATTGGAGAATCCAACCACTCCCTTGTACTTTTTGGTATAGATACATGCCTGACAAGTGTCTATACCATAAAATAATTGTGACAGATGGTGATTCCATGGAGATGCCCTGCCCCAAGTTGCTTAAAGGGTAGATATGCCTTTCACTGAATAAATCTCTATCAGGTGGATGGCACTGTATATCATTAAAAATTGTCTACCCGATAGCCATTCCTCAGTTGGATAGTGTTATGACTGCCCTTTGAACAAGCCATCATAAAGTAATAGCTTTATCTTCAGTCAGGAGACATATTTACCTCAAACGATTTTGTTTGTGCTTTGGACCTTTCACTTCATCTGTGAACTCCACTTTCTCCTTTGTTCCAATAACAGGCTCATATGTCATCTCCACCATGTTCAGTCTGTACTTAATGCTGGGAACAAACCAGCCAAATCCAGTTAAGCATTCACTGGAATACTCCCACATGTTGATAAATCCTTCTTCATCAACAGTTACCATAGGTGAAATATTGTTCACAAATGCTATTAGTACAATCTTGTGACGGTGTTCTTTAAAAAGTTCAGCCTCGACATCTTTACCAATCTTGTGTGTTATACCACTGGCTGGATGAACCTGCGGAAAGGACATAACTGACACCATTTTGTTGTATCTGAGCCTCAAAATGTTCCCATGACTACATCCTACCATAAAAAATGCTTGCCTTCCCAGAAGTGTTGCTGAGGGATGAAAAGCTACTGCCGTTACTGCACTTGGTAAATCTCTGGAATCTGAAAATGGTCCTTTTGTGAACAGAAAGTCTCTAGGTTCAAGAGTCAACAATGGAATAAGAGCAGTAGGTTTAAAACCAAGATTAACCTCCACAGGCTCAAATGTTTTCACATCTTAAGGTATGGATGGTGTGTTGCCTAGTGACCATAGTGTGATGGCACCATACACATTCAGACTAACTATTTGTGAAGAGTCCAAACTCCAGTGAAGTTGAACAACAGCGGAATTATTATCACGGCTGGTCCTCAATATACGTGGTGGAAAGGTAGCTAAATCCCAGATTGGAATGTCTCCTTGAACTGTTCCCAGAGCGATAAGGCTGTTATCAGGAGACAATGAAGTGCAAGAGATGCCCCTATATCGTCTTGGTAATGGCAGAGTGTACAGATCAACAGTGTTTCCCATCCAAAACTCTGATTCTGTGTTATGAAAGTCAACTTGCTCTGGAGGGAGATTAGCATCAGGTAAGTCACTAAAAGGTGTGATGTCATGAAAATGCAGCACAGTTCCATCAAAAGTGTCTTCCTCTTCATCAACTATTACACAATTATCTTGTTCATTCTGATTTCTGTGAAATGTTTGACCATGAGACCAAACATCTATTTTCTTCAGGGCTTCCTTTTTGAACTGGGACAAAGAGTTGTTCAGTAGGGAAATCTTTCTCTGATCACCTGATTCAGAATGAGGATCAAAAGAATCCAATATAATTCTATCTAACATGGTCCTAGTTTGAGCCTCAAAATCCATCAATTCAGCAGCTGTTTCCTTGGCAACCTGGTAAATGACATCTGTCAAAATGCTCTCTTCAATGTCAAGGCTCATTTGAAGAATTTCATCATGTTTCCTTTCAATATCAAGTTTTTCAAAAAATCTTTCAGCAATAGCTGCTGCACCATATTCAGATTTTACTCTTGGGCGTTCTCGGAGTATAAAATCTAAAACCTCATCAATCCATGATCGTACAAACTCACGAACGAAATAAAAATCTTCCAACTGCCAAGGTTCGTACGTACCGATTCCCATTTCTCCATGGTAAGGTTTCCTCAGTAAATCCGTTCTCGCTATGTTTTCCTTTCTAAGCGTTTGAACGTTTCTTTCAAACTCTGGAATTCTATTTTTCGTTTTCTCAATTTGTAAACTCAATCTAGACGAAGATGTTGAGCTGTTTCTGGCAGAGTTCGTAACTCTTCCACCAACTTCACTCTTTAGAGAAAGAAGTCTCTCCCTTTCGCGTAGAATTTCTTCACGCTGTCTTTCAAGTTCAATTTTTCTTGCCAAGTGAGATTCTTTCCTTTGCTCAGCCTCATCCATCTTCTGAAAAGTGAATCCACCTCAAAGAAAAGAAACGGGACAACTTTATCTACTTGACTGCCATATTGTTAGATCCCAGACCCCGACAACGAGGGTGGATATCGCGTGTAACCTCGCTCACTTGTAATCGTGTTTCTCTTCGAGGCGAATCGTCTTGCATCGTGGGAGGGGAGGGGGGGGAAGGGGCAGTGAAATCTTTTGAGAATAATAATTTTTGGCAGCATCCAGGTGAAAGTAGTCCTGAAAAACATTGTGGTTGGTACTGGTGATTGAAACTTGGGACCGTCATTATCTCAGCCTCGACCCTGATGGTGACTTTGGCTAAAATAACGTTGTCGACGTTGTTGGACTCCTCTTACCCGGATGATCAGACCACGCGATGAAACATATCGATCTTGTGGTTAGACATTGCTAAGGAAAAGGGGAGGGGAGGGGTTAATCCACTAAGAACTTATATAACAGAAAACTTAGCAGAAATTTCATTAATGAAAAAACATTGCACCATCAAAATTACTTGAAAAGAAAAGTCTGACATGGCTAACTTCCAGTTGATGTTTTAATTTTTCATTATGTTTGTAAACACAAGTAAGCAAGCTTAAGTACTTAGTTACTTACAAGTAAATACTACAAGTATTCTTCATAGCAACATTACCTACAAAGGCGAGGTTTATGGGCATAGTATGTAAGTCCCACTTCTTATCATATTGGCGGCTACAAATTAAATGAAAGTAAATGGAACGGGCAGTAATTTATATTTGTCTGGTACAACTACCACACAGATTATATCCATAAAAAAAAATTAGAGTAAGTAAAAAAAACTCGGCCGTCTTTCAGTGAAAAAAGGTTCAGAAAATCTTAACTGACAAAAATCAACTCAGCACCATTATCACAGAACTTCGAGGGGTAATGTCAACTCTGTAAATAAAGCCTCTGCAAAACAGTGATTACTGCGCTACTGACTCAAGTTGGGCCTGGACTTGGATATCTCTACCGAATGAAAGGGAAAAATGCTGAGAAAAATGAACTTTACCAAATGACTTCGATGGTGAACTGTGATGAATAACTGGATGGTTAATTGAAAACTAATCCTATAAAATCATATATATGTATATACCAAAGATACATTGCTATCTTGCAAAATATTTCTACACAATTATATACCTATACAATAACATACTTCTCTTTAAGGTCTTCAAGCAGATCATTAAATATACCAATCATTTACATTCATGAAAAGCTCACTAGAAAAATACATCTGTTACTGGTTGAAGAAAAATATTGAGTTTTAGGATCAATTTGAAAAAGTACAAAAGACCCTTAAGTTATAAGGGAACCAACGTCTTCGCAACTATCCCTGAATTCCTTAATTGGTTACACAAAAAAGCATCAACACTTTTTTAAGCAAACAGGAGGTAGTGATCAACAGTACCGTCACAGAACATCACTCAAATTGCCCTGTACATCCACCCATTGCTTCCCTTGAAATCACATGTATTTGATACAGTACTATTAAGCTTTCAAAAAGCTCAATTCTGAACATCATGGTTCCTATAAGAAAACACTAATTTGAATCAAAGACCTAAACTGCAGTAAGAATCAAGTTGGATGGGTGAATTTCAAGAGGATTTTTTGTTTGAAATGAGGAATAAAGGTCAACAAATTTCCATTTCTCAAAGGAAAATTTAGATGTTTAAATTTAATTTTTAAACAGCAAACCTGCCCCCAAATGCTTAGCTCATCAATTGACATGAAGTGAATTACTGCAACCTCAAGCGAACATTGAGCCATCATTGTATAAATGAATTTAAAGCAAGTAGTTATTGTACATGTGGAATTTAATCTCACAGTCATGGTAAGGTTTCCATTTGCACCAAGCTAACATCTAATGTACATCATAACTGAATTACTATCAGTATACATTTAGTAATTTATAAATAGTATAATCAAAATATAGCATATTCTACAAAACTACACAATCTTAATTATCAACAATGGTTTTACATTATTTTGTAACTAAGACTATGCATACATTACGCTGCTATAGCCTCAATAATAAATATTATATTTTTAATGTTACAAGGCTCAACACTAACGGTGGTCAACTAGCTACAGACTAGTAGAAATTCAGTTTTAGCTGGTGGTTTTTTTATTTCCATTAGCCAGTTTGGCTAGTAAACAAACTGAAATTGTTGTAACATCTAAGTTGTCACTAGCCACTTGACTGGTAAGTTGAAAAGTTAGTGTCGAGCCCTGATTTTAACCATCTAATGACCCATTCAATTAACACAATTGTGTATAATGCAATTATCAGGCAATTTTAACTGTGAACCAGTCACAGAGGATGGCAGAACAAAGTTAGTGAGGTCCCCAATTATCCCAAAAATGGAAAATAAGTCACGACAGGTCAACCCCTTTTCAACCCCTCTCCCATCTGCGTACATGTATAGCACCTATTAATTGACTGTGTATGCACTGTTCAATGTGACTTCACTGCCTCCCTCCCCCACCCACCCTCTCACTTTAAAAGCCCCCCCCATCTATCCCTATAAATGGTTAGCCCCTTGAGTAGGACCTTTATACTATTCCCATTTGTTTCTTTTAGAAACAGAAGATTGAGGAGTAAACTAACAGAAGTGAAATATCTTAAAACAATTTCATTGCTCCACTGTTTCCTCCTTGACAAACAGTTGACTTTACTCTAACTTTCAGTCTCTTCTGGGATATCTCCTAAGGGTTCAAGAAGATTATTTTCTTCCAGTATTTGATCAATATCATCACCTAAAAAAAAAAATACAAACTCACAGTTCAAGAAAAATGATCATCAAGACCCAAATATAGTGCATGATATATCACTGATCAGGCCCCGAAACATTGAAAAAAAATATTAGTGACAAGTAAAACAGTAACACAACTAAGGCTGACAACCTTAATTACATTTGGTGGAGGAAAATATCAACTCACTTGAAAAATATGTGAGGAGGACATCCAAGACATCCTGTCTTTTCATTGCAACAAGTGCCAGAACGAGTTCCTCAAATGTCAAATCTGGCTCGCATCTCTCAATACTTTTAAACAGCAGTTTAGAGGGGCTGTTGACATCTTCTGTGGGTTCAAAGATTTTGCATTTTTCCTGAGGAATTTTCAGCTCCTTTGCAAGGTGTCTCCAATGGGGAGAAGGTGGGTCTTCATTCAGCAGGTCTGTTATTTGATCAAGCAGGTCTGAGTCATCCAGAATGTTCTTAACAGGTTCATCTCCTAAAAAGGAAAGTAAATTGTGAATAACAAGGACAGAGAAAGTATATTGTTGTTGAAATATATACAGCCGGTAAAGGGACGTTTGGTTTTCACTTCCATCAGGTCATAATGTTCAAACAGACACTGTCAAAGAAATCGGATTTGTGTCTGCGACTTAAAATACCAGTTTCCACGAAAAGTTTGTCCCTGAAAATGTCCCATATAGTTTGCAATATTACCATTCCAACAAAGTACCAACCAAGTTAGCCTTTCAGGTCGGCAGAAATGGGAGAAAACGACAAATCACTCACCCTATTAGGAAAATAAAACAATGTATAATTGTGTATAATTGTGTAATTTGACAATGTATACTTGAAACATAAAATACTGAATAAATGCACCAGAGCTTCAATGCTGCTTTTGTGGTGTTGAAAATGCAGCCAAATATCCTTTTCTACAAATATAACATAACTCCTATTCAAGTAATTATTATTATATGAGGTACTTCCTCATAGTAATGATACTTTGTAGTTTTTATTTGACAATGAGGGGAAAAGGTGGAGAAAAAAACGTTTAGAAGGTTTTTCTTCGTGTGACAAGTTGACTGGCATTGAAAAAAAAAAAATTAACAAACTGATTATCGCTTGCCCAGACGACAATAATTACCCAATTCAAGTTTCCAGCCCTGTAATAATAAGAGTAATTACTGACAGTAATGAACTAAAATGTGCTACTGCTGTACCTGGAATTCCACCTTTGTCAAAGATTACAACAACATCCTGTCTTCCAATGGACATCAAGCAGTTTTTCAGATGTGCTAATGTCATCTCAGGATCAAATATTGGAATGTACTTTAACAACATCAAAGAAGAATTATGCTTTTGGTGAGATCCAAAGTTTCGTAACACACGATGGGGTACATTCAGCTGTAGTGCTAACCCTTTCCAATCCTTTCTACGTCTCAAGTCAAGTTTCAGAGCCATATGACCAAGAATTCCTGTGTCGTCTTTTTCAACAAGACTGGCAACTACACTTTCCCTACTGATCAGTCCAGCTGATTGAGAAATAAACATACCAATGAAATAAGTTTATAAACAGCATCAGCCAACTGCACTTTCAGTGACAAGAATAGTTACTAGCTGTCAATAAGGGAATTATGTAAGTTAATGGATGTATTTTCTGCAACTTTTTGGCCTTCCCTGATATTTTAGTCTTTCAGGTGTCCCTGGCCAATGGCATGATTCTTTTTTTTGGCTAATTTTTTCATGTTTGACACAGAAATAAAGTTGCTTATTTAGTGTCCTACTTACTTCTAACTAAAGAAACTAATTCAGTGATTCTCTTAACCAACCTGAAATTTTTCTGTCTAAATATTGAGCCACATCATGTCTGTCAATTTCTTTCAAAGCCTCCTTAATATCTTCAATGGTAAGTTGAGGTTTTGTTGCTGTTAGGAACACAAACAAGTCCTCAGTTGGACTTGTGGCTGAGAAAGTACCACAGTGTTCATAGGCTTCTGGAGGTATTCCCAATAATTCAGCAAGGTCTCTCCAACAAGGAACTTTCCCATAAAGGTACTCTGTGTCCAAACATTTTCCAAGGTCATCAAGAATAAGAGGATTATTTGTGATGGTCTCAGTAAGAAGTGAATCTAAAGTAAAAAAAAAAAAAAAGATTACAATTATGTGATTGTGACACTTCAATTTAGCAGCCTGAACATGAACTCAAAAAGCTAGTTTGAGCAGTGTCAAGGGTTTCTAGTTACATGACTGTATGGCTTCCTCTTTGAGCAAGAAATATGATCAATGCAGAAAAATTCTCATTCTGATTTGCTCTCATGAGAACTCAATGGGCGTGTATTTCCAGCTGGGGGTTGATTTGCTCTCAAGAGAACTCAATGGGCATGTATTTCCAGCTGGGGGTTGATTTGCTCTCAAGAGAACTCAATGGGCGTGTATTTCCAGCTCGGGGTTGATTTGCTTTCAAGAGAACTCAACGGGCGTGTATTTCCAGCTGGGGGTTGATTTGCTCTCAAGAGAACTCAATGGGCGTGTATTTCCAGCTCGGAGTTGATTTGCTCTCAAGAGAACTCAATGGGCGTGTATTTCCAGCTCGGGTTGATTTGCTCTCAAGAGGACTCAATGGGCGTGTATTTCCAGCTCGGGATTGATTTGCTCTCAAGAGAACTCAATGGGCATGTATTTCCAGCTGGGGGTTGATTTGCTCTCAAGAGAACTCAATGGGTGTGTATTTCCAGCTGGGTGTTGCCAGCTTGGCACCAAGACAGTCATTACATTTAAAGCACCAGCCTCCTTTGAACATTCAGCTTAATTCTTTACACCTAACATGGGTATCCAAATTCTCCATACTCTTCTTTTTACATTTCCTTTAGTGCTAACATGGGAAATTTGTTAACCTATCATAAGCTTTGCTAGTTGGCCGTCCTTTTCCCATGCTCATGACCCTAATGTTTGGTTCGACAGTTATACTGAAATCAGATGCCAATCACTCTTAGAGGTCAGAGGTCAGAGGAATGACCTTGACAAGTCACATAAGAGTCATCAATGTAAAAGAAATGAACTCATCCATGTCATGGGTGAAAGGCACTCACAACCCTGGGTTACACAACTCTGATCTACTTTACAATGAGTCTGAGGTAAATATCATTTTAAAACAGTTTAGTTTGTTCTTGTAACATTTCATTTATAATAACTAAGTCGTTCGTTTCAGAAATATCTAGTTGGAGGTCATTTTGATTTCAACTGCTTTTACATTTGGAACTTTTCTGAGATAAGAGAGATGTGAGATGAGGGTTTTTGATTTTCAGTTGTAAAAGCTGGCACCTGTAGACACTATACACAATAGAACTGAACTTCTCACCTGCATCAACTCTTTGCACAACAACAGTTTCTCCCTGGGAACATTCCACAGATTCATCGTTGTCATCACCCTCCCTTTGATCAGAATTAGTGGATGGTTGTAGCACAACTTGTACACCCTGTCCTTCAGTTTTCTTCTCCATGGCAATAGCATTTGAAGAAAGAGTTTCTTCTAGAGCGTGCTGATCAACCTCTGTTTCTCTGATGTCCTCTGGAGACTCCTTTATTGACATTGCTTCCTTGAGTAATTCATGTTTATCATTGCCATGAGCACACTCCTCCTTTCCAGTAGAGACAACTGCTTCACCAGTTACACTGACAAAGTCTTTCTGTGTTATAACTGCCTGATTTCCATTCAACCTTAAAGAATACTTTTCATTTTCTATTTCAGATTGTTCATGATGATAACTGTCAACAACAACTGTGTTACTGTGTAGATCAGACTCTTGCAGAGTTGTAGAGGCATTAAGATATCCACTATCTGTACCTGCATTCTCAGAATGTTCATCACCAACACTGACCTCTAACTGTGCTCCTTTGATGTCTTCGACATCAGTTTCTTCCCTTAGTTCTGACGCCTGCAGTGAAGGTTCAATGGAAGAATTTTCTTGATTGATGTCCTCAGCTTCGCACTCTTTCAAATGACCACTTTCCCTAGCTTTATTTCCAACATGATCAACAGGTGCAATAACCTCAGTGGAAAGTTCACATCTGTCAGATGTGTGCATGTCTGTCTTACTCTCAGATGATACAATGGAGTCCTCCTTCTCGCGAGTGTCCAGCACTGTATCACTGGTTTCCATGTCTTGCTTCTCAACTGACTCAGTTTCAACCTTTGTATCCAGAGGTAATGAGCCTTCCAAAGATACATGGTTACTTTCTATATAGACATGTTCATTGGGATCTGAAGTTTCAAAGTTTTCTTGGTCTATCAGAGAGCTTTTCTTGCTTTCTAGTGAACAATCAGCCCTTGGTTCTTTAACATCAGACAGCTCTCCATTATAAAAACCCTTGCTTTCAGGTGGCGACATTTCTGAAGGACTGGTCTCTGGTATAAAATAATCACTCTCTGTGATGTCCTTACCCAAAGTATCTTCGTGTTGAGTGGCTCCTTTTTCTACAGACATAGCACTACCCACTGAAAGAGAAATTTTTGCAGATTATCAGTTTCTACAAAATCATACTGTTGCATCATGATGCAAGTCAATGAATTAATTCAATAAGAATCAAGATCTGTACTCAATATTGCATTTCTCTGTTGTATTGGTTCACTGGGAATTATGTTGCACACTGAATGTTATATTTCTAAATTACATCTTAAATTTGAAGGCAATGAAGGTAATAAATCCCATATAAGGACCATCAGTTATCAAGTCATTGTGACAATTCAAACAATATCAAATATTATGGACTTGGTATAGAAATTGAGGATAAACAAGTGCTCTAAGATCAACTTAACTGTGGTAAATATACGAGACTTGCCATGCTTTTCCAAAACAACAGCAACATAAAAAAATACCTTGAATGACTGTCACTAAATTGTCATTGTCCCTTGTAATAATCTCCTTTCCATGGCAAGATATCACAATCCCTCCAGTCTCTGCAGTTACATCCTCAGCACCTTTGGTTTCTTCAGTCCCAGAGGATGATTTCTCTACCAAACTCAAACTTTTGCTTTCATCTAGATCTTTCACTTTGCTAGACTCTTCCACGAGAGTATCTAAAAATTCTGATTCATCACGATCCAATGGATTTGAAATAATTCCTGTTTCCAACTCAGTTTTCTTACCAACTGAAGCAAATATGTCTATACATTCTTGATCTGGTTGGATCACTTCCTCTCTCTGACCTGAATCAAGAGCATCCACCTTTGCAGGATTTGATGATTCAATACCAGGTTTGAATCCCTCTGAGGAAAGCAATGATTCATTGTTATTGGCATGTGATGAACCATGAGGTGAAACTCTTGAGTCCAGACTGATTTCACAACCCAAGACTTCATTTCCAGCATCCAATTCCACATTTGCGAAATTCTCCCCTTTACTTGGAAAGGCAGGATCGCCATTTTGAATATTCACTAAAGATTATGATCATAAATAGATTGTGAGTAATCAGCATGTAGACTTAAACATTTTATGCACTATTCTTAAAACAGATGGATCAAGTCTTAAGAGTAAAAAAATAGTTTCGACATTTTTCATTAAAATAAAATAGAATAGAGTAAATAAGAAATGACAAAACACTGCGTAGATCGCGTGAAACCAAAACAATATTGACACGGTGGAAAAAGTAGACGCGCGACCTGTTTTGATACTAGATTCTCGAATTTTAAACCGAAGTTGCACGAAGCAATACAATTAATGGACGCATATTTAAATGTTTAATGAACACACAGATTTTGAAATTAATACTGGCATCAGTATCAGAAAAAAAAGAAGCACCGGAAACATCAGGAGAAACTGGTACTCAATAGAACAAATTGTAGCAGTTAAACGGCTGAATATCAGCAATGAATTTGTGGTTAAGCGCGCCACGTGTAAATGTAATTAACGTTTAAATAAGATTCTCAGAATACGTTGAAACAAAAACTGTGCGGGGTCACATCAACTTAATAATTAATGTTTTGATAAACTTTCACTTACCTATCATCGACGAGTCCGGCAAAAATACGGGGGTCAAAAAACCATCTGCAAAATCTAAGACACCAGCAAATTCACCTTTCCCGGTCAAAACTACGGCCCCAATAGGAGATGCTCCATCGTTAAATCCTATCTCTGATCCAGCGAAGTCTTGTATGCTGAAGATTCTCGTCTCCGGCTCACAAACAAGTTTAAAAGTTTGGGTTGAAAATGCAGAGTTTGTTGATTCATTTAATAGATCTCCAATAACGTGACAGTACAGACCTTCGTTAATTACTACTACTTGTCGAGATTTGCTGAGAAAATCAGCGCACTCTAAAGGACGAAATGTTTGCAGACTACCTTTCTTAACCATCTTCTT